AAAGGGAAAAAAGTGGTCAGATTTTATGAATCTGTGGATTATTCAGTGCAACACTATTTGAAAAGCATTCCCCATGGGATTTTCAGCTTGCCTGTGCTGTTGTCAGCCATGCTGTCAGTATGACAGGGCATGCTGGAGGCATCAGTGTGCTCTGTGGACCCCTGATGAGCCCTCTGACAGGGAATGCTCAGCTCCTGCTGCAGCAGCACTTCTGCTGCCCTGTGTGTAAAACGAGAGCTGCCAGAAATGTTAGCACCAAGGAAACAGAATTGCTGAAACACTGATCATTCAGAGCAAGGCTTCTCATCCCAACACTTCCCAGTTTTAAGATGCAGCTGGGCACTGGACTCTGGAGATGGTAGGACACACTTTCCTTAACCTAACATCCCTTTCTCCTGTTGACTAATGAAGTGCATGGATTTGGTGAGATGCATGCTTCCCTGCAGGAAATGTCTAGTCCAAAGTGGTGTTGTAGTGCTGTGTGGTTCAAAAATTCCATATGTGGTAAGACTAGAAGGGTTAACTGATTTTTGAGTAAAACAGGCTGATGAAAAGAACCCTCAGAATCTTAAAAATATTCAGGGGAGAGATACAGAATAGGTACCGGGAAATTTTGGCCATGGCAAAGGTAAGCTAGTATTTCTGTGGCTAGAACTTGTGAAGACTGCCCTGTCCCATGCACAAAAACATGGAGGGACTTTGAAGATCCTTCTGTCTCCTAATTCTACTCTCTCGAGACTGCTTCAAGGTTAATTTTTCAATTCATTTATGGTAAAGCTTAATGGAGTAGCATAATATGCCACATAAGCATGCACAATGTTTCACACTTATGTATTTCAGAAAAGAGAGAAGGAAGAGAGAAACTTAACTCCAAAGATATCTCAGCATCACCTAACTGTGAAGTGGAGCAGAAGGTAAAAACAGATCACCTGGGCAGGTGCTGAGTGAGTATCAAAGTTGCACAGTTACTTAAGCTCCTCCTGTCTTTCCAGGAAGCATCCATGGAAGAGAGCTGGAGAGTGGGTCCTGGATGAGGACACAACCTTCGGGATGCCCTTTCCATCTCTCACCAAAGCAGCTGAGGAGCTCCTGTTACAGAACAGGTGTGTGGGGACAGCAGGCTGGGTGGTGTCTGGGTGGAACAGTCAAGAAGAAAGGCAACAGGTGGTAGAAGGAGTTGAAGGTGGACAAGGATCTGGATCAAAAGGGAATCAGGGTTAGTGAAATAGTGCAATTTTGAAAAAGTGGCTGCTCCTCCCAGAAAACATCAGAGAACATGTTGAGCAGTTGAAATCACTGAGAGATAACAGGTGCCATAAAGGCATCTGGTTTTGATAACCTTGCTTTTGAATGCCATTGTTTGAAGAAGCATACATATTATCCTTGTCTGAGATGTGGCTGTACTCTTCTTAAGAATTGTCACATGCTACCTATGACCTAAAAACTGGTTTTAACACACATAATACCTCCTGCAACAGAGCAAGGTTCAGGCAGTCGCACACAGAACTGTTGTGCGTTATGTTGTATTGTTTTCATGCCTGTTTTCCCCTCACTTCCACAAGGGCTGATTCACAATCTCAAATCACTCCTAGGAAAAACATACTTTTCTCTTTATTAATTCTAAGCATCTTCTTGTTTGATTTCAGAAATTCTGTATTGCAATGTGGGCATAGTCAATTCTTCATTAAGGCCAGATTTTTCGCTAACCGAGGCAGGTATCTTCAGGATGGCACAAACATTAAAAAGTGTTTTGGAATACCAAAAGAAGAGGAAACTATTAACCTTTCCAAGAACATTTAAGGATGGGAAAACTTCCTGCCTAGCTGAAATTCTAATACTCTGTGCACTGACTTGTGTGTCTGCTATGAACACCATCACATTTAGACTCTGTGTCTAGAAGTATTACCAGCTTGCAAAGTAGTTGGATGTCATGCAAAGCCTGCAGTGTGAACCCATTCTCTCCTCAATGAGTGCCCCACATTCTCCTCATCCTTCCCAGTGCCCACGAGCACTTCTGCTTTCCCAAGCTGCCCCAACCTCAGTGTTTTCAGCCTTTTCTTTTAACATCACTGCTCACAAGGCCTTGGGAAGTGAGGAGGCACCAGACCTGCCTGCCCCTCCTGCAGTGCCAGGACAGAGCAGAGATTCAGAGAACAGATTTGCTCCTCAAGGCACTCTCTTTCTCTTAGCAAGGCACCCATTGTAGGGTATTGGGTGTGATATGGGTTGTGAACAGGGGGTTCACAAGAGCAGTGATCAAAAGCAGCACAGTTCAGTCAAGTGTCAGTTTGTCAGGTACCAACACCCAAACAATGCTAAATGATTTGCTCTCTTCCTTTCTTTTTTTCTTCCTTCCTTCCACCTCTCATTTCTGTCTCTTTCTCCCCTCCTCTTCATGAATTTTCTTGCTCCCCATCTCAATATTTTTTTCTCAATCTTGCTTTCTTTCTCATCTCTCTCAGTATCTTCCTCCCCTCCTCTCTCTTCTATGTCATTTTCTGTGTTTCACTCTTTCTCCATTTCTCTCTCACAGTATCTACCAACCCACTTCTCCTCTACTCTCCCTCTCCTGCTCCACCTGCCTCTCCCTCCTTTGCTTCTCTCTTCCTTTCTGTCCTTCTCTCCCTGGCCCCCTTATTTTCTGCTGTTGGGGAAGAAAACCCTTTCTGGTCAAGGCAATGTTGCTGTGTGCTGAGGGCATAGACAATGAGTACTTGGAGAACTGGAAAGCTCAATTGTTGGCAAGAAACCTCTGTGAGGAGCCTGTGTCTTCAGGTCAGAAATAATTTCTCCATGTCTTAGTGCCTCTTAAAGTGCTGATGCTTTTGCAGCCAGGAGACACAGTTGTCCATGCCCAAGCTGTTGAAGGTCAGAGAACTCTATAGTCCACATGGGACAGCAGCTCTAGTGGAGCTCATCAGCTGCCTCTATTTTAAACCTTCTCTGAGAGTTGTTTCTTTAGGCCACTTATGGGCCCATGTTGCTTCCTGGATCAGTTACCTGTGCATCAGCACATTTCAGATCACCAGCAGCCTGACTCCAGAAATAGGGTGTTGATGCAAAACCACTCCTGTCCTCCAGCCAAGACAGCAAATCAAAAGTGAGGAGAAACTGGTTTTCCTTACTCATCCATTTAATATTCCACTCTGATTCCAACAATTCTCCAGTCCTGCTTTCCAGGCTGGCTGGTGGCAAGGCCAGCTCAGCACAGTGCAATGTGTGTGATTTCTCTCCCTCTCCCACCTGTGCAGCTGGAATTCTGGCCCCAGGTGCTGTCTATTAAGGAACCTGCAATGTTACTTTTCATCAGTTGAGCATCAGTAACAAATTCTCAGGCCATAATTTCTTACAGGTGAGAGAGGAGCCCCAACAGTGTCAGGTGCTTCAAGTGCATCCTGATTCTTCCACAGTCAGAGCAGCTTGTTCATTTTGGAGGGTGATTGTAATATTGTCCAAAGGGAACAGGGAGTTTTGGCATTGAAATATGGTCCCCAAAGTTGTTGTGTTATTTACTACTCTGTCAGCAGGTCTAAAAAGGTACCCAAGGTTTCTTTTCCTTGTTGCCCAGATATCGCTGGCACTGATGAAGTTTTCACAGCTTCACACATAGAGATGATGTCTCTGAAGAGCATCACTTACAGTGACACAAGAGTCAACCCAGGGCATCATCTTTTCCTTAAATAGATTTAGCTGCTGCCTAGCAAACTACTTCCATATTTAGTTGTAAAATGGAAGGATTCTATGGGTGTAAACCTCAGTGTGTTTGGGAGGAGGAGGACCTCCTAGTCCTGAACACTGTTGCTGCAAACACACTGACTGCTGTGGTGCAGTACAAAAGGCTGTGCGGTATCTCCAGCTCCCTTCCCCAGCTGTTTCACAGCTCTTTGGAGTACTCCCTGTCAATGGAGAGGTGTAGAGATAGCCAGGAACCTTGAGTGACCTGTAAGTGTCCCTGTAGTCAAAGCCAAGTCTCATTTACCATTCCCCACATCTGCTTGTAGAATCTTCCCTCGGCAGCTTCCTGACACGCCAGGGTCTAGTGAATGGTATGTTATGCTGCCTCTTTCTGCACAGGTTGCCTCTAAACACCTATTCCAGACAAAGGAAGCTCCAATGTGAGTGTCAGTGTGATGTCCCAGTGGGCACTGATCTCTTTGCTTCAGGGTGGATGTATCTGTGTTCTCCAGACTCACCACCTGCTCAGCTGCACAGACCCCACTGGGGCACTGAATGAGAATGGCCAGGGGTGAGAAACATCCTTGCTGCCTTGCTGTTACTCATGGTCATCTTTTCCTCAGTTTTGTCCTGCTCATGCATTATATTCTGCAGTGTTACCCCATGTGGGATGGAAAAAAAAAAATGTCAGGGTCTATCAGCTACTTTTTTTCTATCCAGTTTTCAGCTTTCTTATACAACAAAGCTCATGCATTGCTGCAAAAGGAAGTCAGGAAGTAGAGTTTGGCAGTGTGGAAGCACCATGTTTAGAGTTTCTCTGTATTCTCAGGGAGCCAGACTTGCAGATTTCTTTATGGTATTGTGTTAACAGAGTTCCTCTCAATTCCAGTGTTAAAAAATAAAAACAGTTCCTTTTGATATGTATGCTTGTAAATTTGTAAAACACAGGCTCACAATTTCTCTTCCTAAAAAGCATTATTTATTTAATATTTATTTATTCTAACTTTAAATCACAATTCCACTGCTGTGAAACCCTGTAGTACAGTGTAAAATTTTTTGTTTGCTCTCATGCATATTTCTCTTACTGTAGTTGGAGTACAGGAGTTTCTGAATCTTACTCCAGAAAATTCAGGAGATTACTCCTGAATATTAATTGTTTGAACACAATCAACACCTAAATAATTCCAGAACTAAAATGCAACTACTGCTTTTTATGCAAAGGAATCTACAGTCTTTGTCTTTAGACATTGACTAATTTATAAAGCCTCACTGCAGAAAGAAGTGACAGAGGGTACACATTTTGTGCAGCTCTCAGGTCACTTTGCTGTCTCATGACACTCTCACTCTTCCTCTGCTATTTTCTTGCTGTGAAACTCGCGGCTCTTCACTCGGAGCTTGTTGACCTGTGACTCTGCAATGTCAGCCCGCTCCTCAGCTTGCTCCAGCTCGTGCTGGATCTTGCGGAACTTGGAGAGGTTGACATTAGACAGCTCCTCCTGTGTGGGGAAAGGAGTGAGTGGTGAGGAGCCCAGGGCAAGGGTTTAATTCCTGCAGCAAGTCAGCCTTATGGGGCTGCAAATCTCCATCCCCCTCCCACCACTGCTCACAAAACAGCCTCACACAGGGCTCCTCATCCTCCCCTTCTCAGGTTCCTACTGGGACAAGCTTCACCAGGACCGTGTCACATGTGAGAAGCAATTTCGACATTTCAATTTGTCGTTTCTCCCACTTATTCTCCCACTTGTTTAGTGCTCATGTGTTAGAGGGTATATATGGATGACAAAGTTCCCCTTGTCAACTGATGATTTTTGACATTTTCAAAATTTCTGATATTCCTCTCCTGGACACCTGTGTGACACCCAGGGGAAGCAATGCTTTTTATTTCTCCGTGCAATACTCACAGCTTCCTCAGATTGTCTCTTGTAGGATTTCACTTTCATTTGCAGCTTGTCCACCAGATCCTGCAGCCTCAGGACATTCTTCCTGTCCTCCTCAGACTAGAGGATAAGCAAAGAGGAAAGAGTGAATTATTGTTTTCTGCACACCACAATATAGCGTTTATCCTTGGAGTCCATGAGAACCTCTTTTGTTTGATAGAATGAGGGTTCATCAGCCCAAGGAGAGCTCCTGCCTTACCTGGTAGGTGAGCTCCTTCACCCTCCGCTCGTACTTGCGCACACCCTTCACGGCTTCAGCGCTGCGCTTCTGCTCAGCATCAACCTCCCCTTCCAGCTCCCGCACCTGCAAGGACAAGCCCATCCCTGCAGCTTCCCTGCCAGTGTCACTCCAAGGAGAGACACGCTCACTCAGGCACAGCCCCAGCCCTACACACCCTGGCCTCCAGCTTCTGGATCTGCTTCTTCCCTCCCTTCAGTGCCAGCTGCTCAGCCTCTTCCAGACGGTGCTGCAGGTCCTTCACAGTCTGGTCCAGGTTCTTCTTCATCCTCTCCAGGTGGGCACTGGTGTCCTGCTCCTTCTTCAGCTCCTCTGCCATCATGGCCGCCTGATCAAAGCAAAGGGTCAAAGCCATTTTGGAGCTGGAGATATTTTGGGGAGACTACATTCATCCTCAGCAATGCCAGGTGTGTCCAACTCACATCTGTGATGGCCTTCTTGGCCTTCTCCTCAGCATTGCGGGCTTCCTGGATGGTATCTTCCATTTCACCCTGGATCTGGGCAATGTCCGTTTCCAGCTTCTTCTTGGTGTTGATCAGGCTGGTGTTCTGTTGAAGGAAAAAAGCATATTTTTTTTCTCCAGTTGCTTAACACCATTTTTAGAAAAATCAAATTACGTATTTTTATTCATGGCTTTGTGACAGTTTCATATGAAGAATACAAATAACTAATAAATGGCAATGGTAAACTGCTGAAGACAAATTGTTGTATTACAGTTAAAAAAGGAGAACCAGACCTATTGTTAACATTAATTCTCTAAATACTGTAGGTGTTATATGTCATCAGTTCTAGAATTTACCTGAGTGTGGAGGAGCTGAACTCTCTCACTTGCATCCAGAAGCTCCTGCTCAGCCATTTTCCTCGACCGCTCCGTCTGCTCCAGAGCTGCCCGGAGCTCCTCAACTTCAGCCTGCAGCAGGTTTGCTCTGCGCTCCACCATGGCCACCTGCTCCTTCAGGTCATCCTGTGTCCTCAGAGCATCATCTAGATGGATCTGGGTGTCCTGGAAAGAGAAATAAGAGAGATTGGGAGGCATATTCTTCCTATTTACATTTTTTTTCCGTTTTCATATTAATATAGAAAAGATAGAATAGTAGAAGAGAAATATTTGCAGCTAAGAAACCCAGGAGAACCTGGTTTGTAATGTCATACCTTGAGCACAGCCTGGGTATTTCTTAGGTTCTTCTGTGCCTCGGCAGCCACACGATTGGCATGGCTCAGCTGGATCTCCATTTCATTCAGGTCTCCCTCCATCTTCTTCTTCAGCCTCAGGGCTTCATTCCTGCTCCTGATCTCAGCATCCAGGGTGCTCTGCATGGACTCCACAATTCTGAGGTGGTTTCTCTTCATCTGATCAATCTCCTCATCTTTCTCAGCTACCTTCCTGTCAATCTCAGCCTTCACTTGGTTGAGCTCAAGCTGCAGGCGCAGGATCTTCCCCTCCTCATGTTCCAGGGAGGCCTGAAAAAAGTAAAAAATCCAGTTAATTATAAAAAATAGCAATGTCAACAATGTTATATTAATTGTTATCTCAAAGAACAATGTATAATCAGAGGTCTGAGATTGCAGGAAAGGAAAGAAAAAAGCATACCCGTGGATTCAAAGATATAACTGGTGTGAAGAAAATCTGCTTCCTATGCCTCTACTAAATTCCCAGTGCATAGAATTATTTAAATGCTAATCTGAAGTTGCTGGACTGTGTTGTAAGTAATCAGTTAACAACAGAAAGCTTTACCTCAGCTTCCTCCAGGGAGGCTTGCAGTTCAGATTTCTCCTGCTCAACCTGCTTCTTCACTTTCTCCTTGTTCCTCTGCATCTTGCAGGCGCTGGGCCAGCTTCTTCCTGTGTTAAACATATCTCATGGTTTAAGAGAAAAGGGAAAGCCGTGGCATGTGGTTGATAGGCTTTTCCCTGTCTCTCTACCAGTCCCTGTCTTCTACATGTTTGCCTGTGATTTTTTCCTGTGATTCTTACACAACATGCATTACAGAATTTTTTTCCTACTTTCCTTTCACCCCAACCCCAAGAAGAACACTGACTTCTTCCCAATAATGTCACTGTGATCTCCAAGAATTTCTGGTCGTAATCTCTGCTACCCTTCCTAACTTTCCCTCCACATACTTGGCCTCCTCGAGCTCCTCCGTGCGCTGAATCGCGTCCGTCTCGTATTTGGTTCTCCACTGAGCCACTTCGCTGTTGGCCTTGGACAGGGCTCGCTGCAGCTCCCCCTTGGCCTCCTGCTCCTCCTCATATTGTTCCCGGAGCAAGTCACAGTCGTGGCGAGCGGACTGCAGGGCATGGGCCAGGGTACTCTTGGCCTGCACCAACAAGGGTATTGGGTCATGGAAGAGAAATATTCAGGGAAACCTGACTGAATATTAAATGGACACTGGATTATCCTTCTATGCAAAGAGACAACCATGCACTCAATGAGGAATGAAGGTGGGACTGAAAAATATGAATAGTGGTTCAACTCTAGGTAAAGGATAGCATGAAATGACTTGCAACAAATTACATGAGATTTTTTTCCCTGTCTCATCGTTGTGGTTCAATAGTTACGTAAGTGTCTGGAGCACCTCTGAGAGGAGGAATCACCTTTATCTCTTCCTCAAGCTGCCTCTTGAGTTCCTCAATCTGTTGGGTGAAAGCCTGTTTGCCTCTTGACAGCTGAGAAACCAAAGCATCCTTCTCTTCCACCTGACGTGAATATTCACCTGAGAAAATGTGCAGATACACAACATTTTTAATGCCATTCATGGTGACACTGCAGACACTTGGAAATGTAAAACCAGATAGTTTTCAGTCCATGCTGAAATGTATGATTCAATTTCAAGCATTTCACAGTAGATGTGACACAAAGTGTGCTAAAAAGACCACATGCCCTGAAGTGTAATTTCTGCAATAACTCCGAGACATTATTGATCTGCACATGCTAGACAAAGATTTTCTTTGTTTATAATATTTGAACGTTTCTCTTCTTTATCTTTTAGCCCATCAACTCAAACAGATTTACAGCGTTGTCAGGTTTTCTGCCTGGGAAATAGATATGCAAGTTCCCAGTTCAGAATGTTCAAAATGTTTTTGTTGCTTTTTACTCTGTCAAATATATCTCTCAGATTTTGTAATTGTGATAATATTCAATGCTGTAAGGGGTTCAGCTACTATCCTGTCTTGGATATCTATAGATGGCAACTTCCTCAGAAAAGCAGGAGCCCTTACACCCACTTGAAATCCCTTGCTTCTTTTACTATCCTTAAGAGAGCTCATCATGCTACTGCAAGACACCACTTTCTAAGCTCCATGTTTCATAGAATGGATACCTGACCTTCTGCCCGAAACAGAGCAGTCAGACTGAGTAGGTGCTTTTTCTGAGTAGGAAATGAATAGTGATAAACTCACAGCCTGCACTTGGAGCTGCAGGTCATTTTTCTCCTATTTAGTGTGCATATATAAGAAACATGGAAAAAGTAACCCTTTGAATTTAACATGAAATACCCATCACTGGAATGAAAATTGTCAGCTGAGAAATCCACACCAATTGCTCAGTTCCTTCTGATTCCCAGCATTAAACCTCACCTTGTACAACAAAAGTAAACCTTACCATCAACCAAATGAATGATGGAAAGGCATGTTTTATGACAAAATTTTGTGTTTATATTAAATGCAATTTTATGTTTTTGCAGTGCCATTTTTCAATTAATAAGATTTTTGTTTCCAATAGTGGTCTAAAGAGAAGTTATATTTAGAATATTTTTTGGTTGGTTGGTTGGTTGATTGTTGGGATTTTTTTTGCTTTTTTTTCTGTGTCTGAGCCAGCTAAAAATACATAATAATTATCTGAACATATGAAAAGAAAAAGTGTTTACGTACCCGGAAAAGAGCTGAGACAGTCTGGAAAGAGGAACCCTTCTTCTTGCCTCCCTTCTTGCCACCACCACCACCACCACCGCTAGCCTCTGATAAAGTAAAGATAATGAAACATCTGTTGCTTTGGGGACTAACCACCATGCATCAAAGAAATGACATTTCAGACAACTGACCTGCCTCTCCTCCAGCAGAGGCAAAGAGTAAAGCCAGGGTCTTCACAGATGATTTCTGGTACAGGAAAGTAGTTCCCAAAGGGAGAGAGTAAATCAAGTCAGAGGTTCCCAGTCAGCATCTGGTTGTTGTTACCTGCTGCACAGTTTGGCCCTTGGTCACGTATTCATTCCCCACCTTGACTCGGGGGTAGCAGAGGGCCTTGAGCAGGTCTGCTGAGTTCAGACCCATCAGGTAGGCAGCCTTGTCAGCAACTGAACACAAAGAAAGAGGGAGAAAGCAACAGAGGAGAAGTGATAATTGAAATCGGATATACTCTAAGATGTAGCTGTTGGTCTCATCACTGAAATTTTGCGATATCTTGAAGGGAAATTTAGAAGCATAAATAGTCTGGAAGCTGATATTGATGTATTTTTGATAGTAAACAGAAAGAAAATACATGACTGCCAGCTTCCAGCTATGTAACCATTTCTGTTAGTAGGAGTTCTATAAGGTTTTAATACCTTCGGTGCCTTCAGGCTCTGCCTGCTCCTCTCGTTGTTTCTGCTTGAACTTCAGGTTCCCGTAGTGCATGACAGCCCCTGTCAGCTTGTAGATGGCTAATCTCTCATCAGCAGTGAAACCCAGGATTTCAATGGCACTCTGGCAACAGGATCAGTCAAATAAATCTCTGAGCCATCAAAAGGAAGTTTCACCACACCAATATGCTCTGTGACACTTACATCTGTAGCCATCAGCTCCTCCTGGTCGTTAATGCTGGGAACTGTGATCTCACCTTGACTCACAAATTGGTAGTCATATGGGTTGGTGGTAATGAGGAGCATGTCTGTAAAGAGGAATAGGATGTATCTTGGTGTGAGAATGAAAATAAATGTTAAACACATTCAGATTTTATCAAATAATTCACAATACTTCATACCAATTAGCTCTGGCTTCTTGTTGGACATGATCTGATAAAAGATGTGGTAGCTCCTTTCCGCCTTGAGCTGGAAAGTGACTCTGGACTTCTCCAGCAGATCTGGCAAGGATGGTAAGACAGAGTCAGATCTGAGAAAGAGCACTGAGGTAGAAAGGGAGGAAGGAATGGGATCAGGTCTGGTGGTCTCTTACATGTTTCAATGTCAGCAGAAGCCAGCTTGCCTGTGGCACCAAAGTGGATTCTGATGAATTTGCCCTTTTGTAGGGGAAAGAAAAAAAGACATTTTGAAATTTCACCATGACTGTAAGCAAGTGACCTTACATTTTCCACAGAGGACAGGCTTCAACTTAGAGGTTGTTTCACTTCTGTATTTTTTTTTAACAAAGCAAAACAGGACAAAAACATATTCAGAAAATTCTTTCTACTGCCAATACTAGATAGATCTGAGCTTTATTATCCACTACTATGTAATGGATAACCATGAATGCACAGGAATGAGAAAACCACTAATAAGGCATTTTATTGGGTCACTTATGTTACAATTCAAACACATGGGTATACTGAAAGCCATTTTCTAATCAGAAAGCATGCTGTGCAAGCAGATTTTGGTGGTGCAAAAGTTAAATGAGGATTTTGGTCTTGTGAAAAACACAAGTCAGCTGTTACTCTCTGGGCTGTAGAGATAGAGGCAACACACCCAAAACATGAGCTTTGAGGCTGAGCCTGAGGATTGGTATTGTGATTTTTCAAGGAAAGTCACAGGTAATCTAATAGATCTTATGAATGGCTTTTTGCATTAAAACAATCAAAGGAACATGCCATAGAGTAGTTTCTTTTCTGGTAGGATGTATTGAAGGAACCCTGTCCCTACCCCTTCCTAAACAAATTATATCAAGGTCTGAACAGACAGATTAATACACCTGCCCAGTTTTGTGCCTAAAACACAGAGATTCATTTTTTTGCTAGTGTGATGAAGGCCAGCAAAGTTTCCATCCAGCAATTTCTAGCCTGTATGCCCCATCTTTCCCTACCTTTATATTATGTCAATTTCCACAAAATTGTGTCTTCAGTGCGTATGACAGACACTAAGAATATGTGTATATCTATTTATAGATATGCAATTATATAAATATTAAAACATATTTAAAATATCCCCCTTTGTATGCTGTATTGTACTTCTAAGGATTATAAGTTTTTTAATTAGATAGTGCACTTTAAGTGGTAAAAATACACAGAAACTACTAGTGTAATGAATACAGTTATCTGACTTCAACACTTCAGAATTGAAAGGATGTTCTGACATCCTTGTTCCCATATAAACAACAACTTCTTCAATGAAAAACTCACAAAGCGTGAGGAGTTGTCATTCCTCACGGTCTTGGCATTTCCAAAGGCCTCCAGCAGTGGGTGTAAGTTTAATGTTTTGCCTGATGTCAAGTTGACTTAAACAAGCAAACCTTTCCAAAGCACACCACTGAGTACGGAGGTGCCTTTCAATTACAACAGCAGAAACAACGCTATGAAGATAGTAAACTCCAAGAGATGTGTGTGCCAGATCCAAGAAAGCTTTGAAAAAGTCTCTTTACTTTGCTGAGATAGAGTATCCCTTCAGAGAATTTATTGATCCAATGCCCCTGAGGCAGACAGAGCCACTCACCAGTCAGCATGAACTGATAGGCGTTGTCAGAGATGGAGAAGATGTGTGGAGGGGCCTCCTGGCGCTTCTTGCCTCGGTAGGCCAACACCACCTCGGGGTTGTACACCGGCAGCCACTTGTAGGGGTTGACAGTGACGCAGAAGAGACCCGAGTAGGTCTGCAAGGAAGGGACACAGCACCTTGGCTTCCCCTGAGCCTGGCCCAGCAGCTCCTGAGGCTGCCCAGAGGAAGCTGCTGCTGCCACTTACGTAGATCATCCAGGCTGCGTAACGCTCTTTGAGGTTGTACAGCACAGCGGGTTCGTGCAGGTGGGTCATCATGGCCATGTCCTCGATTTTGTCATACTTGGGAGGATTCATGGAGAAGATTTGATCTTCTTTCACGGTCAGGGTCTGTCAAGAAAACAAAAGATCAGCATGTGTCTCTGAAAAGCTCATTGTTGCGATTATATGTTTTCCTTCAGCCTTGTTTTTGACTCACCTCTCCCCCCTCAGTCTTGACAGTGACTTTTCCTGATTCCCTGCCCGTGATTGTCCCTTTCACAAAGGATTCCTTTGCATGTACCACGAAGACAGATGACTTGGCATCGAAAGGTTTGTTCTGGGCCTCAATTCTCTCCTTCTCTGACTTTCGGAGGTAAGGAGCCGCCTCCCCAAAGATGGCCATCTCAGCGTCCGAAGACATGGCTGCACTTTATGGAGGGGCTTGCCAGCAGACAACACTGTGGAAGAGCAGATATGTTACCCAAATTAGTCAATATTTTTTCTTGTCACAAACTTTATTGATAGACACTAACAATGTAATAGAAAGTGGGATTTGGAAAGAATCTGGAGTAGTTCTTTGCTTCACCTTCCTGTGCAACCAGGGCAAATTTTGGATGCAGGTTCCCACAGCTTTTTTCTGAGAAGTTTTTATGATGTCAAAAAATGGTTATTTCTCAGTCCTTTTGCATCCTAGCTTAATGTCTGATGACCCTGATGGTGACTTTTTTCCTCTATTTATTACCTAACCAAAATTCCAGTGGCTGAAACCTGTGGTTTTTATCCCTCAGCCTTTTACTCTGCCCATTTAAGAAGAGTTTGACTATTTCTATGATATAACCATCTCCTTTTTGTTGACAATAACAATAAGATAACCACATCTTAATTTCATCCCCAGTGTAGACAAACCTCACCATTGAAGCCTCTTCTCATACATATTTTTTTCCTACTTATCTTGAAAGATCTTTGCTGGATTCATTCCAGAATGTCACTGTCTGGTCACCAGAAAGCACCAAACTGAACACAGTGCTCCAGATAAGGGAGCAGAATGCAGGGAAAGGATCACTTGTCTTAACCTGCTGACCATGCTTTCATGAGTGTCTGACAATGTGCTGCTGACCTTCCTCCCCCAAAGGCACACTGTGACACTTGCACCCGAATTCATGAAATCTTTCTGCAAAGCTGTTTTCCAGCCAAAATTAAATACAACATACTCTGTTGCATGGGACTATTTTTTCTCATATGCAGGATTTGTGAGGTTCTTATCAGCCTCAGGATGAAGTTTTCTGAGGATCTTTTTCCAGGGTAACATTGCCTTGTAGCATAATTGCGAGTTTCTGTTTGTTGTCAGCTATAGTTCCTGAGGATGCATTCCATGCATCATTTGGGTTGCTAGTGGTCTAGAAGGTGTTCTGAGGACTATCTAGGGCATAATGTTTTTTGCTGATGCTCTAAATCATTCACTAGAGTTCTTTGCTTCTCATCCCAAATTATTTAAGTAGTACGTGAGCAACTGGCATGTAAGGACACATAATTCATCAGGTTAAAACACTGCACAACCAACTGTTTGTTCTTATGTTAATTTTTTGTGGAAATAACTGTAAGCAAAGCTAGAAACCTCAGCTGAAGAATTTATAAATCAAAGCCAGATACCTAAGTGCAGTACTGGATTTCCAAAGAAATACCATGTGGCCAGTAACAGAAAGTATCTGAATTCCAAAGAAGTTAGACAGACAGTCAGCTGGATAAGATGTCATGTCATAACTTTTAGTAAGGTAAATAACCAAAATGTTAACAAACATTTGCACCTACTCCTAGTAGCATGCAGATCCTCCATTTTACTCAGAATTCTTTCAGAGGAATAGGAGCTCTTTTCATTGTTTGGTTAGTCAGATAGCTATTTTTGCATTTTTATCAAGTTTACTAGTAGGAGGCCTACATAAAGATTATAACCCTGGAGTATCATTTGGAAAGCATTTTCATAGCATTTATTGGCCAGTTTCATATGCAGTAATAATTACAACTCATAAGTCTGTAGGTTTTGCAACATTCTGTTCTGTTGGCTAGCTCTGTCTGTCTGGACTTCATGCCAGAAAAGATCATTTACCTCAGTGTTCCATAATTAAACATAAGGAATCCCCAAGAAGCATTTCCTGGCATTACATAGTGGCTGTGTCTTCAAGCACAGCCACTTATGAAATCTTGCTAGCTGTGAGCAGCCTGCCCAACCATCAGCATGCTTTATTAGTCATAGCAGAGCACTGGCCAGGAACACATGCAGCAATTGCCTACAAAATTTTGTCACCACGAAGAAATCTGTTCCACAGAAATCTTCCACCTTTTTCTGTCCCTTAAATGCAAGCATATGTGGCTCTTACCTCTTATGCTATTTGCAGGCTGGGGAGGTGATGGGTGCTGTAAGGCAGAACCATGAATCTCTCATTATTGCTGCACACAATTCCACAGACAGGTCACACAGTGAAAATACCAACATGCCTTATGATCCAAATATCAAATCCTTCCAGGTACATGTACATACATCAGGACAGCAGGGCTGGAGTGGGACTGCAGGCACACTGTCCCTTTCTGCCAACCACAGACGTGCACTTACCACGAATTTCCTCTGCAGACAGAGCAGCCCAAATTCAAGGACTCTTTTATAGGGTCTGGTCAGCGCATGCTGCAGATGCCTCCTCTGTCTTTGGGCAAAGCATTTCTGGCAAACCTTGTTTTTGGCAAAGCATTGTCTGGCAAACTGAATGTACTGAAAACTGGAAAGTGATGTTACCAGATATAATTAGAAAATTTTGGTCTCTTCCTAGCCATGTGAATAAATCGCCTATAAATAATACGAGAAGATTCCTAAGGAGGGAAATACAGCTAATGATGACTAGAGGAATGAGGGTAACCACTAATAACTGTAAGGCCATGGATGCTCCATGAATCTGAGCTAAGGGAGCAAGGGAAAACCATTCCCTGGGCAAGCACAGTGACATTTGGATGCATACTTCAGCTTATTCTGAGGACATCATATGTCTGATGGCAGTTGTCCTTTCACAGAGCTCTCTACTTACAGATCTTGGATAGGACACATGGATTTCACCGGTGGTTGTCTGCATTGCTTACCTTAGTCAGATTATTACATATTACTCTGTATTCATATTACTCTGTATCCATATATCTCTGCAGGGCTGGATTCCATCAATGCTGGAAGCAAAAGACAGCCCAGCTGAACGAGACAGGACAGAATGAAGGATGTGTGTGGGAACAGTCTGTTCTGCCCAGAAATGCAGCTTGGGCAAAGCACTGGAGTGCTGATATTCCCCATGGAGGAAAGGGAATTCAGGCATCCTGAAGACAGGCTCTTGATGAGAAGAAGATCACAGAACAACAGAACCTGGTCCAGCTCCTCTTGGACAGGGGAGTTTCTGTAATAAATAAGAATATCTGTATCCAGATCTTTGTAGCTCCTTCCTCTGACACTTGCCAAGAGAGGGTTCCCAGTTAGAATATGTAAACATAACATGCATGTAGTGATCCTCCTGAGAATGCTTCCACAGCCTCTCTGATATGTTGCTTAGAGATTTTCTAAGTCAGCGACGTCTTTGATGTATTTTACATCTAAACCTAATTTTTATACTATGAACTTGTCCATTACCTGGCATCAAGTAGTTGTACACCAGAGGGACATGCACATCACTTTGGTGCAAAACCTAACGTATTAAACAGCAAGTTTCATTATTTATCCAAGTCTGAGGCCTACATACATGTCTTAAAAAAAATAAAATAAAATGAGCAAACAAACCAAAAAAAGATAGCACATATTGCTGTTGAAGAGCTATAAGTGAGCTTCCTGCTCTCAATGACAGGAAAAATCCACAGAGAACAAGGTTACAGATAAGATAAAAAATAGTTATTATTTTAGTGCAAAAAATTAATGGAATTTGTCATAAATATAAACATAGATTCAGAGAATGTAACACTGAGGTTGTATTTGCAAAAAGAAACTAGAACAAGTTAATATTAAGAAACTTGGACTCCCAGGCAGTGGCACATTGTCGCCAGCTTGAAATGAGGACATGTAAAACCTGTGTCAACTGGATGTAAATGTGACTGCAGTCTCTGAGGTAATAAAGTAGGCATTTTTTTACATATCCTAGGAAGTGGAATGTTAACAATCACCATGCCTCTAAAGTATGCTGGCATAAATAAGGCACAAATCACTTCCTAGAAGAAAAATTCTGATTTTCCTGAAGTATGTGTGTACTGAAGGCTAAAATGAGAACAGAGATGATAACTTCATGTTTGATCCATATAAGCTGTGTAGCTATGGGGTAAATATAAATTGTATATAAATTTATAATATAAATTAAAGAATATAATTATATATATTATATATTAAATAATATAAATTTATAATAAATTTATATTCTATATAAATCCTGAGGTGGGATGAGAGTTTGTTTGAATGAATGTCTGGGAGAGAGTTCTGATCATCAGACATTGGTTTCTCTGGGTCTGGAGTGAAGGCACTCGAGACAGCAGTTCATGTTCACACTCAGGTGTTTATTATTTCTTATCAGTGAAACAGCCTCACAACCATGAGTTCTGCAGCCTTTCATTAGCAAGGCACAAAATGGCTAACTGTCTCTTGTTACAAGGTCTTTTAAGACTAAACTATCCAATTAAGAAATGACACCTGGATTATTTTTCCTTTTAACCCAGTAACTGATCCCTTGAAGCCCGCAATGAGGATTTTTCTGCCCAATTACAAAACTTCACCTAAACCTATGAAGAAGAAGAAAGAAGGTAAAGAAGAATAACCTGCCTCTGCCCTGAAACCTCCATCTTGCTTATTTATTACTATATTCTAAAACCCCAAACTCCAAGTTTTCCACCCTGTGATATTACACACTTCTAACCAACTACACACCCATAATCCCAATGCTCTCAATCAATTTTGGAAGCTTCTCCACATCCTCAGGTCAATTGCAGTGTTCTCTTGTGGGTCTGTGCCTTTCAGTACAGAAAGTTTAAAATTCTCAGCATCCAGGGTTCCAGCAATCAGAGGAAGTCACAGGAGTGCTGTAAGTCTTCATCAAGAGGCAAGATATTGCTGAGTTCACTGTGATATTACACACTTCTAACCAACTACACACCCGTAATCCCAATGCTCTCAATCAATTTTGGAAGCTTCTCCACATCCTCAGGTCAATTGCAGTGTTCTCTTGTGGGTCTGTGCCTTTCAGTACAGAAAGTTTAAAATTCTCAGCATCCAGGGTTCCAACAATCAGAGGAAGTCACAGGAGAGCTGTAAGTCTTCATCAAGAGGCAAGATATTGCTGAGTTCATGAGCTAACACTGTACTGACATGGGATAAGACCCTGATGACACAGAAATACCTGTACAGTCTCAGCCAAGTCTACTGTAGGGGCAAGA